CACCAATCTTCTCTGGCGCAAGAAGTTTTCGTGTGAGTGACAGCTTTGCAACCCTGCTGTCGAGCTGCTGTTCTCGACAATCTTACTCTTCTGTCCTCTGCGTCGCAGGTGGATGAAGAAGCAGCTTCGCACCGAGTACGCGATGACCCACCAGGCTCTGACCGAGGACGACCAAGAAGTGTTGAAGGTGATGGACCTTCGTCTGGAGTTGAAGGAGGATTTCGACCATCTGGTAAGCTCTCCTTAGACCAACAGCGTTTTCGTCGAGCATGTGTTTTGTCGCTTACGTATGTTTTGTACCCATCGCAGACGACGACGGCCTTGTCGAGCCCCTATCAAAACGGCGCGGCAGCTCGTGTCGTGCATGGGGTGCGCCGGATTCTGTCGAAATGGGACGACTTCATCCTACAGCCTTCTTAGAAGGGCCATCTTACCGAAGCTTTCGACAGCGTGGGGTTGGTCCGCATCTCGATGACGTATTTGTCGAGTAGGTACACGTCAAGCACCCATTTTTGGAAATCCATGTCCTTGCACAAACCGGACATCTGTACATAAGGGTGACGCTCGCAGTCGCAAACAGTCACTCCGTCGAAGGGGTGGTCGTCACAATGGACGTAGTACATCGCAAGATCCTCGGCGATGGGCATTCGGACGGCTTGCAGGGCCTTCAAGAAACTTTTCGCTGCGAAGAACATATGCTCCTTGTCCTGCTCGTTGTTCCATTCCATCGCCTGAACAAGAACAAACGTGGTGACATTGAGAGATAGATGGGCAAAACTTGCATTCGATGATCACGCTATGCGCTCGACGCATCCATACCTCGTCGAGCCACTGCTCCGCCTCTGGAAATATGTGCTCCTCGATAGCCTTCAGGACCTTCGCGGGTACTTCGCTCTTCGATCTTCCAAGGTAATAGTCACCCGGTTCCGTCGTGAAACCCGCTTGCAGCTGGATGGCCCCGCGCGGGATGCCTGTGACGTATGACCTGCGCATCTCGTTCATGTCCCATTGACCCAGCTGCGCGATGTTGTCGAGTTCACAGTTTTTGTCGGCGAGGATCTGTGCCGCAGACCGTCGAAAGATATGTGTGACTTTCGACAGGATCCACTCCGCGCTTTTCATCGCCCAGGTAACCCATTTGGCATGAGTCGCGTACGGCAACTCGGTCTTGTCTTTGTCGAAGAGGGCGAAGAACAGGTGCTTCTTTGACCAATTTTCCGGGTTGCTGAAATCCAAGGGGGGCACGATCTTATCGTTGTTGTAGTAGAGCGGCACAAGGTCGAAAATGAAATGTATCCACATGAACACTGCTCCGAAGTCGCACTGCCGGAAGTCCATGTGTCGAGTCAGGTATAGGTGGCCGAGCTTGTTGTCTTTGATGGTCTTCGAGTTGCGATAGGCGACCACGAGAACGTGGATAGACGATTCCCCCTTGCTGTTCGTGATGGGCGGAAGGACGTGAGTGAACATATTGCAGTAGCGGATCTCGCGGATGCTTATCCCCCTGCCCAGCATGTGATGCGCCATCAGGATCATCACCCTCACGGCCAAGGCCCTCCACAGCGACTGACTGGGGTAACTCATCGACTCCCGAAAGTACTCCTTGGCCTAGTACGGCAGGATGTCTGAAACAAGAATGCGGAACTGCTCCTCCATGTAAACATCGTCGAGCGAGCCCCAGTGTGGATCGACGCACTGCCTGCATTGAGTGGGCAGATACAGCGAGTAGTTGGGTGAGAATTTGAGTGAAAAGTTTTAGAGTCCGGTGTATGGCAGCCTACTTACTCGAACTGAAAGTCGTGCAGCTACCACAGCTTGACCGCAAGAAGCTGCCGGACCTCGGTGATGTCGTCCAAGGGTTTCGTTAGTGGCTCGTCGAAGAGTATGGCCTCTACTCTGCAGAAGCACGTCAGGGCAGTAAGGCGCGCCAGCATCATCGGAGGGGTGCTTTTTTTCGCCTTCCTTCCAGCGACTCTGGTCCGGCCTGTGTCCAACGAAGCCACCTGTTGGTCGGTTTCACTCGACATGTATTCGACGTACGCGCGCAAGCGCCACTTTGTTATTTTCGGCCCATGCAGGTGCTCCTCGTTACGCAGCGCCTCCCTCCATCTCGGCCCCATATCGTCGCCGATCTCCCTACCGATCTCGTCCTCGTAGATCACCTGCTCCTCTTTAGGCACTCCGTTGCTTCCCTCGGGTGCCAGAATTTTACAGGCCCAAGATTTGTAGTGCATGCTTCCAGAGACATAGTTCGGCCGTGTGGAATCCTGGTCAACTCCCAGCAGCGGAACCTCACACCGGAGAATCCTGCTTTTAAGTGTTCCGGTCGCCAAGTACGGATTGTCTGCGCCCAGTTGGTCACCGAGAATGTGCGCGGCATCCTCCTCTGAGATATTTGCCGCAGCAGGCCGCAGAGGGTCTGGCGGTTCGACATCGTCCGCCTCCTGCTGTTCTCCCGTCCGAACATCGTCATCGTCCGTCGCTTCAGGGACGTTCCTGGCTAAGTCCTCTCTGCTTGGTCTCGTCGAAGTGCGCCTAGGAGCGGCGGGGCCGGCTCGAGAAGCGGATGTGCCGGCAGGGGGTGGTTGGCGAACCTCAGGCGGAACAGCCCTCGCTCTCCTACGTCGCCCACCTGTCGAGGTCGGTGCACCAGCTGAAGGTTCCTTCGAGCGGTGGGCTGTCGACGATGGTGCACGGTGAGCAGGAGCCTCGTGTGTAAAGGAGGCATTTGTTGTCGAGATGGGTTCTACGACAACAGGTATGGATTGACCTGTCGAAGGGAATTCGGTCTGTGCACCACCCACTTCAACAGTGACCGGAATACCCGTCGAACGCTGGTCCGTAACAACCGGCTGTATTACTACCGGTATGGCTCGCGATGTCGAGGTGGGCGCTGCCACCTCCGGTATGGCACGCGTCGTCGAAGGGGGCGCGGAAGAAACCGGCGTGGCTCCAGAGGACGAAGGGGGTGGTGTCGAGATGGACTCCAATTCGACAGGTATCCGTCCTACGTCCGCCTGCCGGGAAGGCGCTGTCGTCGACGGATCGGTCTCCATCAGTGCCCACCGAAGGCTAGCAGTTCTCCCTAAATCCTGGCCTGCTGAGGAAAGTGTGGTGCTTCTACTATGAATTCAGGTTTATACAGTGACCTTGGGCTGATGTTGCTCCCCGTGGAGACTGAGACATTTGACGTGGCAGTCAGCAGTTGACGTGAACATTTGACTCCGACAGACGTAACCCGTCGCCCATCCGACAGCGACAGTTCGCTCGACCGACGAGGCGACAGGTCGGCCGCAGTTGACGTCTCTGTTGATTGTGACAGTTGGTATTTCGCAACCGTCGACCGTCAGCGCCACCGTGTGGGCGACATGCCACCGGGTGTAAAAAGCGTTGTCGGGGGTGCACGGTGCTCGACGGCGATTGGCCAATGTCCGTCGAGCACTGTTCGACAAATGTCCCCGAAATTGCAACAGTTCAGCCGACATATATATGAGAATAAGAATACGACATTGAACCCGCGGGTTTCGGAGGGTTTTTTGGCCTGGTCAGCCGGGAATTTCTGGGGGCCCGGAGGGATTCGTAGGGTTTTTCGTTTTGCCTCAATTCCCTTTGTGCCAGGCGGGGCGGGGCGGCATGTGATGACGTCACCCGTGTGTATATAATTGGGTTGTTTTGGGGCTGCCACCGAATGAAAGAGCGAGGAGGGGACAAATCTCATCAGGCATTCGCTTTTCGGCCATGGCAACATCGACTCTAGGTCGTCGCGAGACGACAGTTTACATCAACAGACACATCGTCGAGTATTACTGTACACCCGATTAGACTTCAGCAGAAACGGACGGTCTGATTGTGCTTGTCCAGTCACATTTCTGATTGGACATGGTCACCGATTCCATGGTAGCATTCAACGTCTTCAGGCGACGCATCGGCGGTCCTAGGATGGCGGGCAGCGTCTTATGCGATAAGCATGTTCGTCAAGCACTTTATCTATCCCATACGACTGAGCATGATTGGATGTAGAGAACGATGGTCACAATTGCAGAAGCCTCGCATGGCACGGGCATTGGGAACACGTCGCATAGCGTCGTATGAATCGGAAAGCGTCGCATGTTTGGCCTGATAATATTTCATTGATCACGATCACAGCTTACTTAGCGATCACAGTCTTGCTAGAGTCAAGTCATCTATCGGGAGAGTGTTCCGACCAGCCTTTCCGCCTCGCGAATATGAAAATGAGTGAAGGTACTATTGGCTGGCTTTAGCGAATTCGAGAAGATTTTTGCAGCAACCGACATCAATTACCGGAATACTCTCGAATCCCAGTTGGTCCGACGAGCTGTGGATCTGACGGTCGTACGAATGTGGCGAGACCGCAGGGTGCGTCACAGATGACGGTCGTTTGAATAACAATAGCTTCGGGATTGAGCGGATTGTATCACACATGGACATATCTCTCACTCTTGCTCCTGACGAGCTTCTCTTATCTGTTTTCAACCGTTTGTTTCAGTCCCACCTGCCCAACTGCTGTCTGCTGTGTGCGGCACGTTGTCCATAGAGAGGTCAAGATGGGTTAAGGTGGTGGAGCAAGAATTGCCAAATCGGAAGCAGCAAGTTCGTTTCATGGCTGCTGGTCAGCAAGTGTGTGTGTGTGTGTGTGTGTGTGTGTTTTTTTTTTTTTTTTTCCGACGTGACCGTTGAGCAAGCAGAGCTAAGGGCGGGTACAACCATCAAGGTGGCTTCCTTGGAGAAAGTGAGCAGTTTGGGGAAGATACCAGTGCTAAATGTGCTACTGGTGTGCCTCGTTCGTCAAGCTCTCTTTCTCCTAATCATCCTGCTGCTGCAACTGCTGACCAGCAAATTCCCCTTTGAACTGATTCACTGGCTTGCCTGCCACATTCCTCTCCTTGCTCCTCGCTCCATCCTCGCCTCCTCTTCCCCCGTGCCACCCCAACTTTTCTTCGTCGCCTCTCTGTGACTGCTCACGTGCACCCATCGCGACCATGTCAACAGAACCCGAGCGCTTCTTCCCTTTCCACTCCTCCCACCTCTCCTCTGTCTCTTCCGTCACCTGGCTGCAACCGCGCCAGCCACAGAGAGCATGGATTGCGCGTTTCCTTCCCAACGCGCGGCGCCCGCTATCGCAGGTCCTGCTGGCGCAAATACCAGCTCCGCCCTTCTCCGCGAGCCCAGCAGCAGCATCCATGGGCGTGGTCCCGGGGAGTCGCTTGCGCCGAGAGAGCGGCAGAGGCAGGGGCACGAGCGTCGACACGAGAATAGGTACGTGAATAGGCATGGGAATAGTTATGAAAATAGGCATGAGAATAGGCACGAGGATAGATATGAGCATAGGCATGACTCCGGGGGTAGGGAGGGCGGCAGCGGGAGGTGGCGGAGAGGGAGTGAGAGCAGCGCGAGTGTGGAGTTCGCAGGTGGCCCTCATGTGGGCGCCATGATTTCCCCGCGGGGCAGCAGCTCTGCTAGCACGAGCACGAACACGGGCAGGGGCAGCAGCGCGCATGTGAGCCACCTGGACGCCGCTCTCATTGGCCCCACTGCTGCTGCGGCGTTCACTGCTGATGTTCATGCCATGGCCTGGCCTGCTGCCCTGCGCAACCCCGGGCTTGCTGTGCATGGTGGCGCTGGTGCTGGTGAGGGGGGGGGCGGGAAGAGCGATGCTGGCTCGTCTATTGCTGCTGCTTCTGCTGCCCAGCTACCCTCCAACACCACTGGACCCACCACCGCAAGTGGCAGCAAGAGTAACAGCAGTGCTGCTGTTAACAGCGGGGTTCGCAACAGAGGCAGCAGCGGCAGGGGCGGCGGTCAAAGGCCCAGCAGTCGCAGGCCGACGGCTCAGATCCGCATCGACCGCATTCCACCGGACACGTCCGCGGAGACAGTGGCGACGTTTGTGCGAGACACACTGGGCGTGATTGTGGACCGCGTGAAGATCAAGGGGTACACCCGCATCCGCGCCCTGCCCACTGGCAGAGCCACAGCAAGCGCAGCCAGCACAGGGGGGGCAGCAGGCGCAGGGGAGAGAGCAGTGGTGGGGGGGACGCGGTACCGGGAGGAGTGGGTGTCGGCAGGGTATGGGTACGCAGACTTCCTCACAGCAGAGGTGGCGGAGTTTGTGATGGCGAGGGAGGAGGCGCTGGTGCTGAAAGGGCAGCAGCTGGCACTGCAGTGCACCATGGAGCAGCGCCGCGAGCCTGAGGGGCTGCTCTCCCACGCCAATGTGCACCTCGGCTTCATCCACCAGCCCGGCCAGCTGGCGCTGACGTGACGCTCCAAGCCCGAGAGCTGCTGCGTGGAGTTTGACTTTCTGAAGAGGCGCGTGCGGGTGGTGGTGCAGGCAAAGGCGGGTGAGCGGGGGAGGGGTGGTGTAGGGTGGGGAGGCCGCGCGGCAGGAGAGGGGGGTGCAAGGGAGGATGCAGGTGCAGCGCTCTGTGGTGGCTCCCTGGCGTCCATCCCCCTGGCGTTCCAGCGAGTGGAGTACAAGCTGGAGTGGCGCATGCGGGACGTGCGCCTGTGGGGCACCAAGGACGGCACCCCCCGCGACACAGACGGGCCCGGCCTCACCTCCTTGCTGCTGCTGCTGCTCTTTGTGCCGCCTGCCGTGTTCTCACGTGCATGTGACGACGACGTGTGGCAGCTGGAGCCCGACAGATGGTTCCCTGATGATGGCGACCCGTGGACCCGAACCACTGACGAGCACTTCCTCCCCGCGGGGGCGAGGGCGGGCGCTTGTACAAGCGCAGCAGCAGGCGCGTGTGTGGGCGTTGGGGATGATGGAAGGGGAGGTGCTGGTGCGAGGCGGTGGGACAGTGGGCCTGGTAGCAGTGGAGGCCGTGGCGTGAGTGGGTGGAAGGGGCGGGTGTGGAGTGGAGGGGTGTTGGGAGCGGCGTCGGTGATGCAGGTGTCAGTGTCGGTGCGGCATGGCATCCATGTGAGGCGCATAGCAGAGCACATGCGCACTGCATTGCTGCACCTCAGAGCACGCTACCTGGGCAACCCACCGCGCGTCGCCATCACCGCCCACTATGCTGCCGCCCCGCCCATCCACCTCACCCTCTTCATCTCTCTCGACCCGTCCTCGCTCCCCAATACCACCGTGCCGTCACCACCCCAGCTGACAGCACCAACACCAAAACTACCACCAGCAGCAGTGGCGGCAGCAGGGGGTCTGCAGTGCCAGCTGTGCTGGCCTTTCCAGTGCTGTACCTGCTCACAGCGCTGGTACAGCAAGGCACAATCCCCCCCACTGCCGTGACTGCCTCCTTGTACCGCACTCCGGCGTACGAGCCTGTGCCCGCTGCCGTGGCGGTGCTGATGGAGTTCCTCCGCTTCTCCCGCCCTGAATTCGACCCCGCCAGGAAGTTCAGCCAGATCGTCCGCGCCATGCGCCACCACGGCAGGCTGCAGACGCGAGGAGGCACCGATACGGGGCGAGCCAAGGAACCAGAAGGGACGCGTGAGCACCAGAGTGAGAGGGGAGCAGAGCAGCAAGGGTCAGTTGTGGGAGAGTTGGAACTGCAGCCGCAGTCGCAGCAGGAACAACGAGACACGGAGGAGAAGGCAGGGGAAGCGAGCGAAGGGGAGAGCAGCACGTGGCCGTGGAGGCTACCAGCGAACCACGTGGTGGTGTTCCGGCTGCTCATCACACCGCTGGGCGCGCAGTGCTGCTTGCCGGGCGTGGAGCTAACCAACCGCGTGCTCACGCACTACCGCCCCCACGCGCACCACTTCCTGCGCGTCACCTTCACGGACGAGGGCCTAAAGACCCTGTCACCCTGACCCTGACCCTGGCTTCAGTCAGCGGCAGGGAGTTGACGCGCATAATAACATCCGATCGCATTGAATCGCATTGAACCACATTCGATTTTTATTAAATATTTATATATATATATATTTAGCAGTGGTTGCACATGATTAAAAGTAACCTCAACAACGTAGGCTGATAATCAGGGTTTCTGAAAAGGCTACACTGCTAATCAGAGAAGTCGAAATCCAAATGTAGTCCCCGTTCCATACCCGTCTGAGCTCCTAATCATGGCACACAAATGAACTTGGACCCTACACTCCCAACACACTTCTTCTCATTGTACACGTAATATTTTGAAATTGCTCCATTGGCAGCTCCACCATAAAAACTGTAAGCACCTGAGCATGTCAATGATGGTGACACTGGCTTTTGCCTGCCCTTCTTGCATATGCCAACGACGAATGACCAATACTCTGCCCTTAGGCAAATCTGAATGGCGACATTTACAAACACAAGAAATGAAAAAAAAACATGTATTGAGAGAAAGAGATAGGCACACACTCAACGAGCAATCAAGGGCAAATAGTTGGAAAAAACACCACGCTGGCATATGAGAAATGACTCCTTGCCCCAACATCCATCAAGTATACGTTTAGTCCATCCACCAATCTTCCCTCCATTTCCCTCCCATCTCTTGCGCCCCCAACCCAGTTCACCTCCACCTCTCACCTGCACGCCAGTGTTGCTGCCAACAGCAGAGGCGGAGACCGGGATGACACTCGAGCAGATGAGGTCGGGATTGTTGCGGTACAGCTCAGCCCAGCGCACAGCGTTCACGTTCCCAGCCCCCGTTGGGTCGTCCTCACTCCCCGCCTCCAGCAGCAGGCGTTCACACGTGTCTTGTGCTGTAAGCACGCCGTAACGTAGGCACCGAGGCACAGTGAAGGCGAAGGTGGCGTTGCGCTCGACGCACAGAGAGCGGCCCGCCTTGATGGGCTCAGAGCAGTCAAGGCCGAGATTGAGTGCCGTGAGGTTGCTGGTGGTGAGGAACAGCTGTGCACTGATGGACCAGCATGTGTCGCCCTGGAGGGTTGAACAACGGGAGAGAAGGCACAGATGCTTGAGGTGAATGGAGCGCAGCTTTACTATGCGACAGTCTTGCGGAGCTAAGCAAAGCAGAGTGGGGAAACATAGAAAAATAATTTGATGAGATTCCATTCAACGAATAAAAACAAAAAGGGCTAACTCTCACACTAAGGGTGTAGAAGAACACAGTGCAGGGAACGAGGAGAGGATTTCCCAGCTGAAGCACCATGTTACGAGGCAAAGCCTGATTGCAGTCAATGCCCTGCAATGAGGAGCACACACAATTCTTTAGTCACCACTTCAGGGGATGGCACATCGTTTGCATGACGAATCAGGAAGTAAATGGACACAGGAAGACAAAGCTATGAAGTGAAGGTGTAGCAATATTGCTTTTGTGATTGTTTTCATTTCACACATTGACGATTTCATAAACTGTAGATAAGCAGCTATGGGACTTAGAATTCCATTGTGAGGAATCAACCACTAGCCTTGCCTGCCAATCCACTCTTCCAGGCCCCCCATCTCCATTGGTTACCTGATTCTGCTGTGTGAATTGGGGAAGTGAGAGGCCCACAATAGAGAGGACAGCGGGGCACCACCAGTTGCTCCCACTCACGGCCAGGGTGCTGGCTGTGACGTTGGCTGGAAAGCGATGAATGTGAAAGCAGGAGAACACACACGCATAAGAAAGTAATCAAGAAAACAAAACTACTAGTTGTGTGTGCATCACATGAATTGACTGTAGAACAAGTGTGCACGGGTTGTAATGACCCCAACATATGATTCAAGAAGAACTGAAAGAAGTAGCGACCCTCTTACAAACGATGCCAAGCCAGCAGCACCTGGGTCGCAGGTGGGGAAGCTATCAATGATTGTGCTTTCAACGTAGTTGGGGGGGCAGATGCAGGAGTAGGAGCCCTTGCCGTCGTTGATGCAAGCGCCCACGTAGCATGGGTTCTTCAAGTCAGACCCACACACATCCACTGCCAAGCGACACAAAACACAATTGTGGAGCACAGTGGTGAGAGAGATACATGTGTTGGGAGCAATGGGAAGAGTAGGGGGAAGGAGAGATAAAACTACGAAAAGATATAGACAGGGACTTGGTTGAAAGAATATCTGAAGATCAAACAAGCCCATTGTTCCAAAAACGGCCATTGTTTTGACAAGGGCCATGAATAAAAGTTATCATTTGAGAACTTGAACCAAACAACTTACAGTAAGCACACGTTTGAGAGCCATATCCGTTTGCAACTTGAACAAATGGTTGATTAGATTCGTTTGGAATGGAACAGTCACACGAATTGCTGTTGCTCCGTATGTTAGCGTGGCATGTGAACCGCCCACACGGATTCATGCTGGGCTGCAGGTCACCATCACCCTTGAAGCTCCTCTGGCCGCAAGGGTCCTTGGGGACTGGAGGGGGGTACAGATAGGAGCAGGAGGTGTAGAAACAGGCGCGAGTGCAAACTCATTGAAAACGACCGTGGGCAGGAAAAGGCAAGCCTTAGGCAAATGGCAGGTGTGAAATCTGGAAACCGTGAGTTGGCGATTGGTGACTGGCTCACACTCTCTTCTCTCTGTTGACAATGCCTCCATTCCACTGTGTTCCATATACCAAATTTGAGGCCATCCCCTAGACTAAAGACTAATTACATAATTCTTCTGTGAATTTCACCCTGCCCCAAACACCCTGTGATGGACTGGAAGGGGGGGACTGAGATATGGAGAGAGCGATGGGGGAAGGTGCCCCATTTGAGACAATGAGGTAGATGCCTCACTCAACACCTCGAGGTAGATGCCTCACTCAACACCTCGAGGTAGATGCCTCACTCAACACCTCGAGGTAGATGCCTCACTCAACACCTCGAGGTAGATGCCCCACTCAACACCTCGAGGTAGATGCCTCACTCAACACCTCGAGGTAGATGCCCCACTCAACACCTCGAGATAAATGCCTCACTCTTGACAATGGGGTAGATGCCAGGCAGCACGTTGATGCCACACACGCCATCCCCTCCCTGAATGTCCATGCGCATGTGGCCCCGGTCACCCCACTCCACTCCCCACGAGTTGCGGATGATCCAAAATGGAGGCGCTATGCGCTGCCGTCATTTCTCAAGATGAAGTATCCGATAACGAGTACAACGTGGTTCAGTCTGCCGGTGTAGCAACCAGGATCCTGGTACTTGAAGGTCTGAAGAGAAAGGGGGCACCACAACAGTTATGGAGGGATGAAACAACAAACAACAAAGTACCACTTCAGGCATACAGCTTAATGCTGGTAACAGCTTGTGTACAACCCTGGGTTGGTTTTTGGCATACAGGTAATGCGAACAACAACTTCTGTACAACTCTTGACAACTTGTGCACAGAATGAAGGGTCAACGTAAGAAACACCCACCCCGTCATATCGTGCAAAACTCAGAGCAGAAGCCTCAATGTGAACCACCACTGGCTGTCGACGCACTGCCAGCATGAGCCCCACAAACCCCTTGAACCTTGTGCGCTCAAAGCCATGAATAGGGTACTCCTTTTTCTGAAGATGAACATTTCATAGGGGATTTAATTACGGATAGGAAGGAAGAGAAAGAAACATAAAAGGAGGTCACAATGGAAAACAAAAGTTTGCTTGCGGAAAATGATGGCGGCCAATCATAGAAAGCAGCAGAATGTTGGGTGCATTACAAAATGATTAGAATATTAATTTTGTACTCTATACGTTGCCTTCTGAATGTTATGGAACTCTTAAGTCTGGCTCGGCCCCTTCCGGCTCGTGGCAAGCCGACCTTAGCTGACCGTTGATCATGCTTGGTAGAAGCTGTTTGCCTCTTGCTGCCATAACTCGGTCTCTTGGCCCCGATCCGGCCAATCTATCATTGCGTATCAGACTGCAGGGCCACTCGTATGCCAATGGAAAATTAGTTCAACTCGGTTATAAGTTGCAACCAATGCCAGTGGCTTCAACGACTCGGAGACAGTCCTAAGTTTGAATATACGCTTAACACCTTAAGCGTACAGCGTATGTATGCTAGCGTACACACGCTATACGCTATACGCTAGCGAATACGCTATACGCTCTTTTTAGGGCTGCCCGAAAAAAAAAATCGCAAAAAATATGCGGATTTCCTAGGTGAGCATTTCGCCGTAGTCGAAATTCAAATCCGCGGTCCAGGGAAACGGGGATCTGACGAAGTCGTCAGGCAAATGTTGAATTTCAGATCCCATCTAGGCATTGAAATCCATCCCTTCTACCGCATTGAACCCCACTTTATCTACGAACTCCAACCTGTCAAAATTAACCCCCCAACAAATCTCGCGGTACTTACCTGCAAGCCCTGTTGGCTAACCCTAACTCGTCATTTGGTTCCCGCTTTCACTAGAGTTCACTCACGCTACTTCGCTTTCTAGCTATTATGTCTACTCCACCTCCCATTGCATTCATCATTCGGATTCAGGATTATGCAAGGGCAAGCCTTAGTGAGAATAGGGAGTACTTTTATTTCACCCTGCCCGGAAAGTTTTTTCTCTGCCCGAAAAGGCGTATCTCCAAAACGAACCCCTAAGCGGATAGCGTATGTACGTTAGCGTATATACGATACGCGAATATACGCTGTACGCGTATATTCCAACTTAGAGACAGTCCTCATATCACCAGTTGAAGTATAGTCGCAACTCTCTCAACGTCGGGCACACCACTTCAAATCTTTAGAATCACACTTCACCACACTACTCACAGGCGCTCCAACCTCTGTGACTCCACCGCGAGGCAGCATGAGAAGCCTTTCCAACGCCTCGGTGGGGGAGCCCCCCGTGCTGCACTTGTCAGCTTCGGAGGTGAGCCCCATGGCTGCAAAGAGTGACTCCACTGACAGCTGCGGTGCCTGTGCATTCAAGGCAATGCCGTATGCCGCTTCCACACTCGCCACCAGCGCAAACGCCCAAC